AAAAGTTCTGAGTCTTTTTTTGTAAATTCAATCTTTAATTCAAAACAACAAAAAATATTAATCAGCGAAATATTCCTCGTTTGTATCAACGACCTTTTGCCATCTTTCGGGTAGCTTGCGAATTCCTTGACGATAGAAGCTCACCGGCTTCGAAGCGATAAAGTCATCAATGCATTTTCGTATCTCTTCAAATCTCACGAAATGTGTATCAGCCAAATGATGCTGCAGCGACCGGAATAGGTAATAATCGGAAGGCGCCTTTTATTCTTTGCTTGTGTTATTGATAGCTACTCATGACAGTTTCCTGAATCAATTTTATGAATCTTTATGTTTTACATATAGCATATCCTAAAGAAATAGTGTTGCTTAAGATTCGTCGAAAGTATTAAAATTGCTCTTTTGTTACAATCATCCGATAACATTAAATTTTCTTAACATGTATTCGCAAGTTCAAAAACAGGTTTTTCTTCGCTTTTTGGATAAGACCGTCGCAAAATAAAGACATCACGTTTGTTTTTATAATTCGTCATATCGCGTTGGATATTTGCTCATAAAGTACAAACAGAAATTGAAATTTTTATTTTGTGAATTTGGATACGTCAAGTGTTTGACAATGCAGTCACCAAATATTGCACTTTGGTGCTACATATTTTTGCTTGTTGCCGTGCTTCGTCCACGGAATCTTGGGGAAATTTTATAAATGATAAATATAAAAAGAATTCTACTATGCGATATGATCTTGTAAATTCTACGATCCGAGATGATGAAATGCCGAATAAGATCCATATGAATTTTACGAAGAATGATCGCAAGGATAATGATTTTGAATGGTCTCATAAACTTATCACGATGAACTTCGAAGAGGATAATCAAACGAAATCCGGAGCAAACTTTACAGAGCTCAACGATGAAGACAATTTTATGCTGCAGGGAATTAATGAAAATCTTGAAATGATTGATTACCAGAATAATTCCATGCTGTACGAATTCTATGATTTCAATATGAATTATTATGATAATAAGTATAATAACAATACCATCATACAATTCCATCTTACCGAAGCTGCAAAATATGCATGGTTATACGTTACGAGCATATATTATCTCATTATTCGTTGTATTACTGATTATGCCTTTTGCTCAACAAATAAGTGACTTACATAAATCAAGATATTGCATTCCATTAGGTACAGTGTATATTATGTATAATAATTATAATATAATTATAGTATAACATAATTATATAGTATAAGATAATATAATTATAGTATAATTATGTATAATTATGTATAATAATTATGTATAATAATGTGTATGTGTATATTATGTATAATAATGTAGTAATGTAGAGCTTAAATACACCTACAACTATTTATCTAGATACATCTACACATATTATATTTTTTCCAGTTATAATATTAGTATTAAATTAAAAAAAAAAAACATACAATAAATGGTATTTAAATTTTAAGCGTACACACTCTTGTGTATAATTTATATTTGTACAGTTTTTTTTTTTATTTAAAAAAGTTGTAGAAATTATATTATGAAACAATGTTAAATTTTATATTTATGAAACTTATTTTTTTTTATTATAAATTTATAAAGTAAGAATAAATAATAAACCTTGTTGATATTTGATAATTAACATATTATTTTTTGTTTTTTCAGCCTACATTTATAATTTCTTTTTTTATCTTGCTTTTTCTGGTTAAATGTAACGTGTTTCGACATTTGATGGACATTTAGGTAAACGATGAACTATATTATACCTTCTATACAGCAGAAATGTGCAAAATATATTATATTTGTTTATTCTTATTTTGGACATTTCTTCTGTAGATTTATATACATATTTTATTTAGGTTCATTCTGTGAAAAATTTTAGAAACTTTTATATTTCTTAAACATTTCTTGCGTTTGTGGTATAAAATATTCAAATAACAGAACTAATCAAATAAAAAACTTTATTTGATTTGAAAAAAATCTTTCTTTTGTTTCAAGATAGAAAAATTTGATTGTATATGAAGAAGTTATATCTGTTATAAATATTTATATCTCATGTATAATATAGCAAGAATTTACGCATGATTATTGCAAAATATTAATTTTAAAAGTATTTTCTTTTTCAACTGTATATACTTGAATAATAATTCATTGTTAGCTAAATATAAATTGCAATTTACAGACGACTCCGTTCAATCGAACACAAAACATCGAAAGAAGTTCATAATATATTCGATTTATGTGTGGTCAATTGCCTTTATGGTCACTGGTATTTGTGCTATCATGGATTATTATGTTCCCGACAAATTAAAAGATTTTATTATTCAGCCAGAAATATGTAAAAGGAAATTTTGGTTCAGTAGTAAGTAATATCAAAATAAATAAGTCTTTATTAGCGCTAGTATAATATTTCATCAAAATCTTGATTTAATTAAAAATGTTAAATTGAAATTACAGATATGTTTACACATATTAGCGCATAATGTGAACAATTTATTTTCCGTTTTAGGTGAGAAGGCAAAGACGTTGTACTTTTTCGTATCTACAGCTATTTCTGTTATCAGTAACATTTGTTTTTTCATCGCCATATCGATAACTGTGTATCAGACGAAATGTACATCTTATCATCTCAGAGACAAGGAGAATAGATGCTACATTGAAATGATGCAGAGGTCCGTACAATCGAAAGAATATGCATACATCAACGTTTGATTTGACATCAATTAAAAATAACATTATATCAATATTATAATTTCTTACTCAACAATGTAATTGCTATATATAACGTGTGTTATATCACATAATTGTATTGAGTGGAAAATCGTAATGTTGATGTGATACGTAGTAATTTATCTTTATTTCATGTTGATATAAATAATATCTGCTGATAAATAATTCATGTAGTTAACTAATTTTTATTTTTAATAAGATAAAGTTAAGTCTATTATATTTTTCTAAATTGATCCTCTTTGAATTATTTATTATTATTATTATTATTTAAAAACAATATTTAAAAATAATGATCATAAATATTTTATATTTTCATAAATAAACATATTTCTTATACTCCTAGAAGATACACCTTGTCGTCAGTAATGATTTTAATCATAGGCATTATAAGAATATGTTTATTCGCAGATTCCGCTTATTCGTGAAGTTGTTCCTAGTGATGGGAATAAATTTGATTATAAGTTGGAGTTTTTACATACTGAAGACAATAATAAAAATCAATGGTGATGTAACAATAATATTCTGGTATTCTGTCGATATGATAAATTCTTTACAAGGTCTCATTATTTTCGTCATACTTGTGTGTAAAAAAAAGATTATACTGCAGCTTTTAGAAAAGTTTGGTTGGCGTCACGATCTTGTACAATTGCAAATTTGTGAGGTTTTATCGAGGAATAATAGCATAGTTTCGAATATCACCTCTTTTACATCAAGATCAAGTATGATAATCTCGCAACGAATCAGTTCATTTGATCATTGTGCGAAATCCAATTAGGCCTATTCTTAGATTTCACTTTTAAAGTAAGATGCAAGATAATCTTTTATATAATATTAAAATATTTCAATAAATGTTAAAAAATTAAATCTAATGGTAATGTATTGTTAAGTAAATTTTTAAAAATGTCAGATAAAAATAGACAAAAATAGACAAAAATTAATTTAGTAAATGTAATTTGGAGTATTATAATAGATAAATATAGATATAGAATATAATAGATAAAATATAGATAAGATAGAAAAGAAATATAGAAAAGATAGATATATATCGAATTTATTAGAAATTTAATAATTATTTGTACAAAGCATAAAATATTATAAATTTCAATGTTATCTCGAAATAAGACAAATCCATAATTTTATATTTTTAATTCTGTATTATGTTTAATTGTATTATGTTACATTTAGCACTTGCAGTTGTAAAATACTGAATAGAATGATATCCTACTGCTATAAGATAAGAATGAGAAAGCAATAGATATATTTCACTCACAATTAATTTTACACAACTTCTAATTTCATGTATTCTCACAGTAATAAATATACAAATATATGTCTTGTTTTATTTTTTGATTATTATTTTAATATATTTATGTAAAAATGTATTAGAATAACATATAAGATGTTTCACGAGTTACATTGATTCCGATAACTTATAATGCTAAACTAAAGGAGTTTGATTATGTAAGAAGAGCCACGTGATTTGATGATGTCATAAGATAAGGATAATATGGCAAATATATTACTTGGATTGGTCAAAGTACTATGTTTAAAAAGTTGATGGTAATTCCTTTCCTTGAATTATCATATATTCCCCAGCGAGATACAGCTTTTCAATGCAATTAATGGCTCATTATTCAGTAGTTTTGTCTTGTAGTTTGCCTGAGTACGTTCTATAGTGTTCTGTCGTTGTTGGGAAGTGAATCATAAAATCGGACACAGTGTTGGCTTATTTCATCACTATATTTAATTTAGAATTAATTATAACCGCTAAAAATAACAGTATTCTATTTAAATTATTTTCATACATATTTTATATATATGAAAATCATACGTAATTCAAATTATTTTAAAAATGTTTTAATAATTTATTAAAAAAAAATAAGCTTTTTTTTCTCTAAAAAATTTATAATAATACATTAATAATTCGATAATATGCATTTTTTACACAGTTTTATTAAATAAAAATCATTCACTAGATTTTTGCATCACTTATCGTGTACAAATATTATTTGTTTTTCTTATGCATAATAACAAATAATCTTACAATACATAAAATATACAACACATTAAAATTTTTTTCCTTTTTAATTATTTTTCCTTTTAATTATTTTCATCTTCTAGAACAATTATTGGCAATACATATGATATATGCACGTACAAACCACAATATTTTACTGGATATAGTAAATTTGAAAATAAAAATTCAAGAGTTTCAAAAAAAATACGCTAATATGATCTCTCATCGTGGTTTTCTTAAAATCTTCTTGAATTTTTCGGATATTAATTAATGTAACTTTTTCTTCTGCATAAAGAACTATTATAAATAACATAATAAGTAAATAATTACTGTGTATATAACAGGAAAATGCTTGGTATCTGAAATAATTATTGTACAAAAAGTACTGTTTAAAAAAATGAATCCGATATGTTTTTTTCAATACAATAATAGTTAATAAATAGTTAATAAGAAAATTGAATGATAATTAAATATTTTTTTTAACATTACATTATAGTATAATTTTTATTATATAATTGATAATAAAATTTTCAAATAATAAATATAAAATAATAAGAGAAAAAGGGATAGCAAGACTTTTCGGAAAATTTATGTAAAATGAGAAAAAAGTAATATTAATAAAAAATAATCCAATAATTGTTTTAGTTTATTTATTTGAAATTAACAATCTCAAAATTTGCAAATTTTCTCTATAATTATGACTTAACGTTGTCAGTTTTTGTTTTATGAAATTCTTGTAAACAATATAAAAAAGAATTTAATATATTTTAATATATTCTAATATATTTTTACATGTAAACAATATAAAAAAAATTTAATAAGTCATCATTCCGAAAGCAATTCCAATTTATCATATCGCTGTGCTATCGCTTCTATATTTTTTTTATCCAAAATGACGCGTAAAAAATGTGACAGATGAAATGATGATAAGTTGTCTATAATCCACGAAGATCAATTCTCTATTAATGAACATTGTTTCGAACAAAGAACATTTTAAACTTTATTATTCTTAATTCTTAACACATCAAAATCAAATAAATTTTTTTCTAGCTATTTTTAACTCTCATTTAAAAGAAGATGTTCTGAGGAATACAAAAATGTTAATATTATTAAGAATATCATTCCCTTTTTCCTCTGAATTTCATTCTGTTTTTCCTCTGAAAAGATTATCTTCTTCGATTGCATGACATCTTTTCTTTCTTAGTAAAGTTAATCTCTGAATGTATAAAGCTCTTATTTTTTTTTGTTCGTGTTATTGATCATTTTTTCATAATAATTTCTTACATTAATTTTATGAATCTTGTTTTACATGTATATAACACTGTTACACTTTAAAGCAATCATGTCATCTAAAATTGAAAAAAATTGAAATTTTTTCTTGTTGCTCTGTTGTCATTTGTAACTGACCAATATCATTAATTTGTTTATCTATTGTCTATTCGCAGGTTTATTCCAAAAATAAATTCATTCTTTATTTTTTGGACAAGATCGTTGCAAAATTAAAATATCACGTTTTCATAACTTGTCACTATTGAATTGCATATTTGCTCACAAAACAGAAACTAAAATTTTTATTTTGTGAATTCAGACATATCAATAGTTTGACGATGCAGTCACCAAATATCGCATTTTGGTATTATATATTTCTGCTTGTTACTTCGTCCATGAAATCTTGGGGAAATTTTATAAACGATGAAAAGAATTCTACTCTACGGTATAATCTTCTTATGAATTCTACGAGGATTCGAGACGACGAAATGCAAAATGAAATCCATATGAATTTTACAAAGAATGATTACAAGGATAATGTGGATACGATATGGTACAAGTCGCATAAATCTATCACGATAAGTAAGTACAAAGAGAATAATCAGATGGAGTCTCGTGCAAGTTTTACAGAACTCAATGATGAAGATAACTCTATGATGCAAGAAATTAACAAAAGTCTTATAATAACCAATCTTGAGAATAATTCTATATCATACGAATTCTATGATATTGATGTGAATTATTATGATAATAATTATAATAACAACGCTATTATATACGCTCGATATTCAATATGAATTTTGTGACAACGACATCTGCACTCAGTTTTATTGTCCTTTAGGATATCATTTAACATATGAAGGAAAATGCATTCCTGGAATGACTAAATATTCTTTTTCATATAACTATGAACTCAAGAGTGATTACAAAGATAATAAATTGGAACAATTATTTCAAATGATCATTTTCGGTCCATGCGGTGTTCAAGGATTTCAATGCCATCGCCTTTATTCTAATCAGTATTTATTCCTAAACAACAATACTTTGTACGGAAAGTCTGTCCAATTATCTTCATGGACATCAGATTGCTTCGCCATTATGAAAAAGAATATTTCTTTCGATATAATTGTTTGCGAAAGTAGGATTAAATATCCGATATTGATATCCGCGTGCTTTCTAGTGTCCTTGCCATTTCTACTACTGACCTTCGTAGTTTATTCCATATTACCGAAGCTGCAAAACATGCATGGTTATACATTACGAGCATACATTACTCAGTTATTCATTACGTTCTTGATTATGCCTTTTGGCCAGCAAATGAATGATCTACATAAATCAAAATATTGCATTCCACTGGGTATTGTATGTGTATGCTATATATTATTATGTAACAACGTAGCTTATATATATATATATATATATATATATATATATATAT